CACACACACACACACACACACACACACACACAAACGCTTAAGCTGGATTTACAAGAACAACGAAATAAGTCAACTCACATGGGAAACACACATTAACACCAAAAATCCTGTGCAAAACAAACTAGCTGACATTAAACAACACAGAACTGCAAACAAGGCCATTCTCCATTGCTTCCAGGTACCACAGCAGCTTTATTTGTACTGGCTTTCACTGTCCAATCACTGTCACGGTAGTCCTTATTTTGTTCTGCAGCAGCTAGAGGACTGTTTCGTATGCTGCTATACCAGGTTCACAGAGGCTGCACAGCAGAACTCAGGCTAAGCAGCTGCAAAAATGGTAATCCATCTGGAGAGCTCACAGCTGACTTCGACACCCTGCTATTTACTTGTCAGGTGCATTCAGGCACATCCCTTTCCCTTGCTAAAAATATCCCACAAAGAGGAAAAATTTATTTATTTTAGTTGGAAGAACCATAAATGGACAAACCCTGTTTTGGCACCATTTCTCCATTACTCACAGGCTTTATTTTGTTCTGCAATTTAGAAAAAAGAAAGAAAGAAAGAAAATCATATGGCCATATATCAAACAGCATACAGCCGATAAACATATCTGTAATAGACCAGAATCTGTGGAGGACTGAAACTGCTCAAATCATCAATAAATACATAAATAAATAAAGAAGACACAAAACTTTTACACTTTTTAAATCCTTTTACAGACTCATTTGTTTTGTCTTAGTTCTTAGTCAGTTATTTATTTAATTATTATTTTGTTTTTGCCAGGTGCAGTAAAATCAGGTCCGCCACGTGACCAAAGATTGCTCCCCGGGCGCTGCATTGGTGGCTGCCCACTGCTTCACTGGGTGAATGGGTTAAATGCAGAGGAACTATTTCCCTACGGGGACTAACATGCACACTTTACTTTACTTTACTTTTATAAGATGCAAAAACATAAATCGGTAAGATACTGTGTGAAGTCCCCCCCCCCCTTAATACATTTTACATATTTTTGAGTCACATTTTCAATTGTTTATTAGTTTTGGATATTGGTCCCTCCATAAGCAGGGGTTAAAATGAGATTCAGCAGGTGGAATGGAGGGGAATAAGTGCATTAGAAACAAGTAAGATAAGCACTTCTGTTGTAAACTCCAGTACATTGGTTTGCTTCATGAACTGGGAGACCAGTACTGACTGAAGTTTTCCGGCCTCATATTCTATAATATATAGGCCCACATTACAAGAAACATTATGGCTGCTTTCCAACCTCTAGCCCAGTATAAAGGTCAAATTTGGCAAGAGTTACGAAAGAGCATCATGACCGGATCCCTGTGGCCCACTTTAATAAACACCAGCACTTACACAGTTTGTTTTACAGCACTTACACAGTTTGTTTCCAGTCTGATGTGAGATGCCTCGGTCAGAGGTTTCCCAAAATAAAACTTTTCCAAAACTTATTCCACAGAGGAAGGATGATCACAGAAAATAATAATACTGCATACTAGTCCACTTACACAAACAGAGGTAATTAAGGTTAAGGTACATTTCCCTTCCATAGTGCACTGACGCCAACTACTGAGATCACCATTGAAGAATCATGAAATAGATTTAGCTCAACATGAAGGATGAGGAGGATATGACGAAACAAAGGAGCAGCAGCAACAGGATTAATGAGACTCACTGAGGTCTGCTACTACGGATTACAAATGTCAGATGGTAGAAGAACCATGATGACGCAAAAGGCATCTAATCTCAGTCATAGGAAGCCCCAACAAGAGCCGTTCAATCACCACTGAAAAGGCTGGAAATGTCATGCTTGGACATTTACTGACTGGCAAATATGGGCTGGACTTTCTCTTAGGGTGCTTAGGTAACAGTGAAAGCCTATGGGAAATGCTGTCCTGTGAGAATTATACGTTTTTTTGTTAATAATATATACTAAATGCATGCAATTTTGACATCATACATTACAGTTGTTGTTTATGCCGAATTAAAGAGCGACTCTTAAGGTTTAATGAAACCTCTTCCATCACACTCTATTTTACACTCGACTCCAGGGAATTTTAAGCTTTCAATTTTCTGAATGGAGTTTGGAGAGGGGGCTTCCCTCGCAGGAAGGCATGCCTAGCCAGAAGCAAGGTGTGCGCTGCAGTAGTATCTGAGCTCACGTGCTTTTCTCCTCGGCATTCAGCGAGAAAACGACACCTCTAAGTCAGTGGAGTCTACACGGGAGACACGCGTTTTCCGCTCATAAATAAACCAGTCAAGGACGTGACATCGATACCTGCGGGCGAAAACCGCCTCAAGTTAGCCACACTTACACAACACAAGACCGGAACTATTAACCACTCAACTTCAAAATAAAAGCCCAGGCGTGGATTTCTAAACTTCAAAAACTGAAATACAAATTGAAAAGGGAAAATAGAGAAAATTATTAGCGATGCCCCTTTTGTGAAACTGCAAAATCACAACTTGGCTTGTAGCTGAATCTCAATACTAACATATATATTCTCACTACAAATCAACTGAATTGCATTAAAGTATTTGTATTAGAGTATGTGTTATTGTATATATTTTCTTTTCTTATTTTATCTTAGGATTATTATTATTATTATTATTATGGAAAGAACCAAATAATAAAAGCGCTGGATAACGACTTTACTTTAAAAGAAAAAAAACAAAGCGGAAGTTGTGTGTTGTTCAGTTATTTTTAATTAACTGTCGCTCAATAATATTTATACTTGGCTTAAATGTAATTAAGAAACCAGTAGCGTAGCATGACTCATTGTTCATAACATGGATATGAACGGGGAGGACTCGTCAGGTTTACACAGTTCATATGAAGCATCAAACCTAAAGGTCGGATGCAAGCATTGCTGCACACAAGTGACTCCCATCAGAATAACCTTACAATATGATGCTAGCTGTATGATACATATGATGCTAGCTGTGCCTTTTAACGGACAGGTGCCCTCCTCGTTACATCTTGTCATGCACACACCTGTGACACCAAGGTTAGCCGCAGAGGCTGCCGGGCTTACCTTTAGCTTCACAGTCAGCACAGTACTTGTTATCCTCTTCTCTCAGCAGTTTGGACAGAATGGCCTGATGCTGCTCATTCAGTTTCTGGGCTTTTTCTCTCTCCGACCGCGTCGTCATGTCGCCAAAGTTCGGAAGTTAGACCTGCCTGTGAAGAGTCGATGAAAACCACGGAGTGCTCAGCCTGTGTTAAAAAGGGTGGGACATCACCTTCTGCTCGCACTTTGCTGCCTCTATTCAGTTAGCTTACAACCTGCTAGCGAGGTAATACGGATCTGTGGCAGCATCATCTCTGCTGCTTTCACGACTGTGGGAATTTTTGCAGCGGCGCGTGAATCAGAATCACACAAGTGGTATGGGACACACAAGGAATTTCGCGTTATTGGTAACGGCTTCATTTGTCAGCTTGACAGTAATCCTGAACACACCAGCAATGCAGTAAATTGAAAACACATACCCACTATCATTCATCGACTGTCCTTCCCCACACCCCGGGCATCAACATTATTAAAGCTGCGTGGGATCATCTTGCGAGAGAAACAACAGAGAACAAAAGACAGCTGACACTGAAAGAAGAGCTTTAAATGTCCTTGAAGAGGAATCCTGGAGAACTAATTAAAAAAATTAGGAGAAACCGGCTTTAGTATTTTAATGAAGTTAAAACATAGTTTGAGCTACTTGTATGAAATTTGGTACATGCGTTTAACGTCTCAAGACATCTGCTCGAAACTGTTCGTGTTTGATAAGGACCCTGAATGCATCTTGATGGAAATATGTATTAATCATTATCAGTCAGTATTAATCATTCGTAGCACCGCCTAGCAGCAACAGAAAATTGTGTTTTACTCTTTGGGACACCAATTCCAACTGGTTGACTGGTGTAATCTAAAATTAGTTCAGGAAAGACTTCGTTGGTGTTACTTTATTTTTAGAACTGAGTTTTTGTCAGATGGTGTTCCTGAGCCAGCATGGCGAATTTCAGTGTTTTACCATTAAATTTATTCAAATACTGTACACAAAAGGGGAGTAAGTTTGGACATTTTTAGCTATTTTCAAGCCTTGATGATTTAATCGGACCAACATGATATTTGGTTAGTTCAATCTAAAGACCTCGTTGATGTCATAGGGCGTGCCCATAACAAGGACTTTTTCTACATCTCAGAACCTTCTATCTAATATACATTCACACATATTCACACTCGGATGGATGCATCAGAGAGCAACTTGGGGTTAGTATCTTGCCCAAGAATATTTGATATGTAGGCTGGAACAACCAGGGACCACAAACCTTCTGATTAGTAGTAGTCAGGTCCGTATCTTTGCTGCTTGTACTTTAAATAATAATATTTTTATTATCATTATTATTTCCGTTTAAAACACAAACCCATTTTGGGGTCGCATCAACAGATCATCCTGCATAAAACACCAACAAACATGCAGAGCCACCCGCTGTGGCGACCCCTTGTGGCAAGTTTCTTTTTTTCCTGTGCCTTTACTTCACAGCTTTTCAATACACCATAACCCACAAAATGCTTAATTAAAATTAAACAAGTAAAAATGTTTTAAAAAGAAAAATATTGCGTGTGAAAAACATGAAACACCTTAGCACAGGTGTTCCATTTAGTGCTTAATGTTTCATATCTGTGTGAGTATCTGTGTGGGTGTACTAGTTCTGCTAATTTGTTTCATAAGTGGGGGTCCTCTATACTTCACACCTGGAAGCTGTTGGAAATTAACTCACCTGTGTGCTGCAGCGCGTGACCTTCCTCCTACTAAGCTCCCTCAGTTGTTGCACTTTGCACTGTAGTGCCGATGTTTGTGGTTTATGCTGTTATTGTTTGTGCATGCGCCTCCAGTCCTGAGAGACAATTCTGTAACAATCTCTAAAGTTTCTTCTTGTGTAGTCAAACCTGCTGAAATCCTGCATGCCCCCTCTACCCCTCAACTCTGAAATAACTGCCTTGCATAACTCGCTGTTGCCCTTCAAGCCTGCAATAAACTTGTCAAACCTTTAGCGTTGCATCTTTAAGAGATTTTAGCCTCATCTTCACTCAAATATCATATATCGCCTGCTGTGACAGACATTTTTCCATCAGTGTAACTCAATTCTGGGTAAAAGAAGTTGCCACAAAACAAAGTTTTGAACATTAGTAATTAGAAGATTTTATTCAGCACTGGTGTGAAATTACTGCTGAATGCATTCATATAAAGGAGTCTCTTAATTTGAAAGGGATTCATTATGTTGAAGTTTATTGATTTTTGTATGTTTATGTGGCAACTGCATGTATAGGAGAGTCCCTTCGTGTGTGCTCCAACAGAAAAGCAAACGGCGTGAGAAAGGATACAGCTGTGGACAGTGGAAAGTGGGTTTATTTTCCCCATTTGTGAGATCTACAAACAGTATTTTGGTGTGTACGCTTTTGTTTTTGTTTCTTTAACAACTTGGGATAACTAACACTGCACAACAGTAAAACAACCAGGTGCTCAGAGTAGTTGCTGAAAAGACTGCCTCAGCAATAAGCACCTGCAAGCATCATCATGCTCCGAGGAAGGCAATCTCTTTCATTAAGGCTGGAGAGAAACCCCAGGTGCGCCCACATTTGACAACTGGCCTCCTCAACACAGCCTCTGATTGGCAGCTACAGGCTGACCTGGTTAAACAGCTAAAGTTCCCTCAGAACATTGCAAAAACATCCCTCCGGCCAGACATGATAATTATTTCTGAGGCCTCAAAACAGCTGATCATGCTGGAACTCACAGTGCCCTGGGAAGAGCGGATCGAGGAGGCCAATGAAAGGAAACGAGGAAAGTACTAGGAACTAGTGCAGGAGTGCATCAGCCCATAGAAGTGGGTTGTAGGGGCTTTGCAGGACGATCACTCTGCAAAGTCCTAGGCCGGCTGGGCGTGGCTGGGGCAGCCAAGAAGAGGGCCATCCAGGCTGTGAGTGAAGTGGCAGAGAAAGCCACAAGGTGGCTGTGGATCAATGGATGTTGTGAGACCCGAAACACCTGATGACCCCAGGATACATCACTGAAGATGCGTACCAGTGCATCCAGGAGATGTGTCTTTTATAGTATACCGAAAAACTTCAGTTGTTTTACCTTTTCTAAGTCATGACTGTAAATTTGCAGCTTTAGATTTCTCTACTCTTCCTTGTGAGAGTTCTTGCCTGGATTCTGTTGTTTCTTTTGGATTAATTGGTTTCTGGACTTTCTACCAAAGGTGTGTCTTTTGTTTAAGAAGTCTCCACTTGGGTCTAACTCGTGCAACACATTAGAAATATACTCAGCTAAAGGTAGATCCATCCAAACTGTCTGCTGTACCTTACTATCCAGGTAAGTAAACTTGTGTCTTGTATCTGGGTTTAGTTGGGTCGTGACAAAAGAACTGCTGTTTTACTTTTGTATCTTGAAGATAAGTCTTTTAATTGCTAGTGTCTGTAATACAGACCTTTTGTGCATTACAACGAAGCACCAATTAATTATTCAAATACTTGGAGATGGACTGAAAGGATTTTTCTGGTGGAGCTTTATCCAGCTTACATTTTCACATACAACTACAAGACATGGAGAGAACAAAGGCAGGTTTGAATCAAATAAAAGTGAAAAAGTACAGTCAAAAAAAGTCAGAAAGCATAAAGTAGGACAATTCTACCATCTATTTTTGTGCACAGGTAACTAAACCGTCTCCTATATTAATGTAATACAAAAATATTAGTACACGAGAATACAAATGTTATTTAAATCTAAATTCTAATTCTAATGAATGTACTCAGCTTGATACTGTTACTGTTTAGGACATAAGCAATAAAAGAGAAAGAAACAGAGGGTGACTTTGCCTCCACACCTAAACGGAGATTCAGGTGGAGGAACACTAAGATCTGTTGTAGTGGCTCAGCATGGGGAAAATCCTAAAAGCTCACAATAATTTCTAATATAAGCTCCCGTAGATTTTCATATTGTACAGGTTGTAATCAGCTGACCTGCTGCTCGTTGTGGAAGTGCACAACTGAATTCAACAGGATGTAAGCAGATGTTTCACAGCAATCTCGGCTGTGTCCCATTACCTACACTAACTGTAGGCTGTATATTGTCTTTACACTGACAGTATGAAGTTGGTTTAATTACTGAATTCAGTCAGTGGATCTAAGCATCATTACCTGTAAAATAATCTATAATAATAATAAACTACAGCCACTGTGTGTATCAGTCCAACGCGTGATTTCACCACATTACTGCAAGCTAACCTGTTTATCCTGCTGTTCATGCAACATTTGTTTGCATTTATGTTCACACATCATATACAGATCCAATATGTGATTAAAATGAAGACATTTCATGTAATCTTTAAATGTGCAGTATATTAAGTGTCACTGAGCAGTTATTACATCTTTCTCCATCTCTGAGTGAATCTAGCTCTTTGACCTAATTTCTTGGCTCCTAATATTCACCCTTAAAATCTAGAAGTGGTGCAAAAATGAGCCCTTTACTCTTTGGATATGTACTGACTCCCAGAATATTTTTTCCAGCAGTTGGATGCTTCAGATATTAAATCTACTTGTCTGGTGACTGTTTCCAATATACTTAAAAAATATGGCTTGATTATAATATTTCACCTTTCACTATATTAAACAGCAAATTTAAAAAACAAGAAAAATGTCTACAAAAAGAACTTTGCACAGCAAAGAAAGCAAATTGGCGTTGTTCGAGCTGTGAGAGTGTAACACAGAAATAACTGCCCCTTTTGGGTGGCTTAGATTGACACAACCAGGAATCAAAACAGATCATTTGGGTTGCATGACAACAAAAAAACTTTAATAACTTTTAATGTTGACAGACAGCAAAAATAACAGGAAAGTGACAGCTGTACAGACGGCACAGAAATGTAGCAGCTATTCCTAAAAGAAAAGAGGAGGAGGTCATCAGAAACACTGGCAGGTGAAGTTTAGTTAAAAAGTGTACAATAAGGACAAATATATTTGAAACTGTTAAAAGGATAACATACAAATAATACAAAAAAGTCAAACTAATTGCAATAAATTAAAATATATATCACACATGTACCACATCATGTGTAATTACATGTGATTGTACAAGATACAGTTTATTAAGCTTTAAGTTAAGAGAGAAATTGTTAGCTTATAAAAATCAGGTGTGAAATCTGTACCATTGAGTAATAAGTCCTGAAACAAACTAGTTTACATCCTCTTTAAAGGAGACAACTAAAGTAGCACCACCACATCATAACGAGCGTCTCACAAGTAAGGGGACAGCGACATGAATGACTTCATTTCACACGTGAAAAAACAAAACAAAAAAGAATCCCTCACTTCTGAGTATTCTTCATTTGAAAATACAGAATCATGTCACAAGAGCAAAGCAGTCTCATCACCAGCTGTTAAATGACAGATCAAATAAATAGCAGATATCACCACTGTCATGCAGTTTCAGACAGATGCAGAAAGAGATGCAAGCAGCTTAGTACTTTCACATAACTGCCAGCAGAGGGCAGCAAAGACTCATCCTGCTGCTCAACCAGCAGAGATTTGGCGGTCACGCAAAACCATAAATCAGCAGGACATCAGATATGAAAATCGCATCCCAGGTTACCACAAAGTATTGAGGGGCACCATCTAGACTCATATCAGTCAGTGAGCTCATTTGTGAATATAAAATTATGTAGTAAGCGAGAAGAGTAGGATTCAGATGCTCTGACACAGCTTAGGATGCACCTCTTAAAAACAATAAAATATAAATATTAATAAACATCATGTAATTTCCACTCTGGTGTCATAATGTCATGGCACAAGACTCGGACATCACTGAGAAAAATCACCCCGATAATCAAAGGATGGATTTGCAACAAAATAATGTGCAGCGTGATATGAACTGCAATTTGGTCCAGTATTTGAGTGTAAACATTTGATGAGGATTTAGATTTTTGAATGAATGACTTATGAATTTGCTGTGATTTCTCAGACACACCACTGTCAACTACTGACCTTACTGACAACTTCAAGTTTCACATGTGATCTTCAATAAAAGCAGACCTGGAGTGTCAAAGAAGTGTGGTTACAGTACTCACAAACAAACTGTTAGCTTTAACAGTATCAACGGCTTATATTAGTCCTTCAAATACACACACTCTGGCAGCTGTGTGTGAAGTATTCAACTTTTTAAACCATTTTTTAATATATTTTCCCCATTTTCTGTTGAACGTTCATATTAAACATAGTTAAAGTTTGCCACATTTACATTTAGCATATGTAAATGTAATCACTGTGAGGCAAAAGCTCAAACAGCTTCTGACTGCCCAGACTACCAAGTCTCCAAACGTTTTCGACTTTCATAAAGTAAAGGTCATATAGCTTACAAGAACAGGGTGCTTCTCCTCTGCTGGCTTCCAGAATGTAGCCAATCAGAACAAAGGGGGCTTTAAGAATGGGGCTCTTAAAGACACAATAAAATGGCTTATTTCAGAGAAAGTATAAAGTGAGGTGCTGCAGAATGGGCTAGCATAGGGCTAACATAAATGAGACATTTATGGACAGTAAATCATCCAAACCTGTTTTTGACTCCCAGAATAAGAATAGCAAGCTAGAAAATAAACATCCTTCAATAATTTTATATCTATATCATTATTATATTTGTCTAGTTAGCCACAGTTGTTAGTGTCAAGTGGGCTTCCATGGACTTAGTCTAAACACCTGACATGATACTTAGCTAAGAAAGAAGTAAAGTGATAAGTTAAAAAAATTCTAGCATAGCTTACTGTTAGCATAGTGTTAACACAGCTTTAGCTGGTTAGCAAACAAAAAAGAAACCAAACTAGCTATGTTTCAGACTCCTTGGTAGCATAGCAATAATGCTCTTAGCTATATTTTCTTTTTAATAAAATAGCTAAAATCAGTGTAGCTAAACATCAAACAAGTATGTTGTCACAAAAAGCTAAGAAATATGCCAGTATGTACAACCTTAACCTAACTTAAAAAGGCTGATGTACATTGAACTTTAAAGAGCAAAAACGACTTTTAAGCTGCTCTCATTACAAAATTATTGGCATCTGCTTGTAAAATGCTGATGTCAGCTTTTTCCCTGTAGTAATATTGATGTGAAGAATGGTTGTTTTCTCAGAGATAAATAGGGTCTTGTTTTATTTAGAGAGTAGACCATACAATTGACCTTTCCCTCATGAGAACATAGGGCAATACATGCAGACCAATATTCTAAGGAGCTTGGAAAGAAAGCAACTTGACTGCTTTGGGTTTCTTGAAGATGTTTTACAGCTGTGAAGCTTCTTCAGTTCTAAAACCTCTTAACAGGCCTTGTAAACTTTTCTCTGGATTATGAAAAATATTACTTTCAAACTGAGGCCCAAATAGTTACCACAATTACCACTTCAACCTAACCTGACACTACAAAATGTGTTGTTTTCATCCAGCTATTCAAGTAAGGGACATCAAATTGAAGTAAAGCGCATACCCAGACTTTGACCAGTACTTAAACAATGACAGACATCGTCAAGATTGGTTAAACACTCTTACTTGTCAGCATCTGTTGAGTTGTTAATCCTCTATAGTTTAAGCATGTCATGGTATTTGCAGTCTGAAGATAAAAAGAAATAAATGCACTTCATCATGTCCTGTTATACAAAGCTGCCGATGAGCAGTGACTGGAGTAAGATGAACATAACTGTCACATTTATGGGAATGTTTTAGACTTGGTATGTTTCTGTCACTGTTCATGTCAAAATGCTTTAATAAATAAAATGTAAAATACAAAAACTATTGACTTAAGTGACTGGGCAAATCATTTCAGTGTAAATTATTCTAAAATTTCATATATATTCAATTTAGCATTAAGATGCCAGAATGGAAACCCAATTTTAAAAATAACAGTGACACTATGTGGACTTTCCACGCTCTAGCAGGCATTTTTTTGGCCTTACACTGAATCAGAATGCTTCCACAAAAGCAGCATGTCAGAGATGTCAAAGGTAAAAGGTCAAGAAAGGAAAAAGTCTTGCTGGGATCACAGCACTGACTCAATGGCTTCCGGCATAGCTTCTAAGGCTTTGGCTTGATGCGTGACTAATGGAGATGTCTCCTCCTCTGCCTGGACGTTGGCCACCGCCTCCACTCGGACTTCCGACAGCTCCCCCTCCTGTTGATGCTTCTTCATCTCCAGCTGGTTTATGTGGTGGAGGATTCCCGCGCCAAGAGCGTCGCCCTCCACGTTCACTACAGTGGTGGTACGATCTCTGTTCACAAAGAGAACATTTGTGACAAATTTTGTGATGATGATGGCATCAAGGCAGGTTGTGCTAACAAAAGGCCTTTGCTTTTCAAAAGAAGAATTGAACTTAGTATCATAAAGAAGAACCTGTATTTTAAATATGACCTATTTCCATTTGTTTATTTAACCTATGTGTGTGTTTGCTCTAGGAAAATACTGCAGGGGGTTTCTGTTGGTCCTACAGTTGGGAAACGCTGATCTAGTTGGGAAACTCTGATCTAGTTGGCTTACTATACGCTAGGTGAGGTGTAGGTGTACGTGATCATCTGTAGTCTCCTATGTTTTCTAATATGACACTCACACAATCCAGTCAACAGCTAGCATGAGGGACAGGTCGTTGGTCGGCAGGCCGATGGCCTCCAGGATGATGGCAATGGTGATGATGCCACCGGCTGGGATGCCTGCTGCACCAACACTGGAGGCTGTGGCCGTCACCCTGGAAGTGTGATTCACAATGAAACACAATAAATTTCCACCTGTTTATGCCAGTAGGAAATGTTGGTGGTATTACTGCTTAATAAAAGTTTTTCTCATTCCCTTAACTTACAGGATTGTGAAGATCTGCCCAGCGTTCAGCTCGGTATTGTTGAGCTGAGCAATGAAGACGGCAGCGATGCACTGGAAGATGGCAGCGCCATCCATGTTAACCGTGGCCCCAATGGGCAGAATGAAGCGGCTGATGCGTTTGTCCACACCATTATTCTCCTCCACACATTTTATCATAGAGGGTAGAGTTGCTGAACTAATGAGAGAAGAAAAATGCAAATGAAAAAAATCTTTCTTTTTTTTTGGTGTCTGTCACACTGATTTTTGGAAGGTTTGTGTCCCATTACATCTGGCCTAAAACTAACATACCAGCAGAACACCGTACCAATAGTCAAACATGGTCGTGGTGGTTTGATGATTAGGGGCTGCTTTGCTGCATCAAGATCTGAAACTTGCCATAATTCAGTGAAGCATTAACTCCGCTGTCTACCTGAAGCTCAAATTAATTATGCAGAAGGACAATAATCCAAATCACACCATCAAGTCCACCTCTGAAAGTTTTTGGAGTTGCCCATTAAAAGTCTAGATTTAAATCTGACTCTGATACTTTGGCCGTTCATGCTCAAAAACTCTCCAATTTGGCTAAATAAAAACAATTCTACAAAGAAGAGTGGAAGAAAATTCCTCCACAGTGATGATGTTCATAATAAATATGCAAATATGCAAAAAATAAGACATCAGGAAGGGCCAAATACTGAATAAGTGTAAGACTTCACTAATATTACATGTCAACTTTTTATTTACATACATTTATATTCATTGATTTGCAGGTTCCCTGTAACAGCTCATCAGTGATTCTGCAATGTACCAGTATACCTGGAGCAGGTTGCGAAGGCAGTGGTGAAGGGTGTTATTAGGCCAGACAGGAAACTGAAGGGGTTCTTGCGCGTTAAACCAAAGTAGATGAGGGGTAGGACGATGCCTCCATGGATAACGTGGCCCAAAATCGAAGCAAAGATATATTTTCCCAGGCTGGTGACCAGAAGAACCACATCTTCCATCTCCACAATTTTACTGCCCACTAGGAACATGATGCCAAAGGGGATATACCTAAAGAGACACAGGAGAAAGGAAGAGTCAAATACAACAATAAATAGTGCAGCACAGACAGTCAATGTCTATCCTTATTTAACTGACTAATAAATGTCATAAAATATCCCCACATTTCAATAAATTCCATCCAAGAGCACTTACCACATGATCCAGGACACCAGCACCATGGTGGCTTCGTTGAAAGCATTGAAGAAACGGATGAGTTCCTCTCCCTCGTCACCCAGTTTCCTCAGCGCCACACCAAACACCATGGCAAACAGCACCAGACCCAGAATGTTCATGCCATCTGTTTCTGTACCATAAGGGACCTAAGGCACCAAGCAGAGTCACACTGTAAGAGCCTGAGCATACTGACAAGACGGTGTTAAGAAGGGCTGTCAAAAACCTAGTTGGTTTAAGTGAAAAGGGAGCAAAACACAGAAGAGGAAAGGGTCTCCAGCCATGCAGAAGGTTTGACAAATGTATCTTGGCAAGAGCATCTGTTTTACTAAGACTTAGTGTCACTGAAAGTACATTAAAGAGCTTGAGTGGAAGAATCTTTTCTTGGAAAGTGAAGAGCTACAGCATTACCTAGGCAGTGGTTGACCGTGCAACTTTACCAGATCCCTTTCTTTTTTCATTCTGTCCATATAAAAGCAAAGTTGAATCACACAGTTTCAGCTGCCCACAAATAGCAACAATACGCTTCTTCTCCTGAGTTGCTTCAGAAGAATTTACAGTTTGAGAGAATAACAACTAACAAATTTTCATGACACAGAATTAAGTTTTTTTGGCTCTCGCTCGCCTCATATTTACGTCAGCTCATATCTTAACACTAGCCACTCACTACTGTGAGGTTGTACTGTGAATGCCTGAGATTAATCCTCTGAGAACTATGACTCTCTGTAGAAAAGTTTGATCAGACTGGACCAAAGTGGTGGTCCACTGACCCATAATTCAAACTGCCTGCAAGGCTAAAATTGCTTGTTGATCCAACTTGATCCAACTTAGCTAAGAAAACAAGTTGAAACACTTCACACAATAGGAGTTCCACACTGATAATCACACATTGAACTCTTGGATGGAACCTTATGTGTATCCTTTCATTGTGGAAAGATAAACTTGTCAAATAATAGAGCTTGTGTAGACTGCAGTAGTATATACGACACCTTTTGCGTGCTGCAGAGTGTGTATGTGCGAATGCAAAAGTCTGGAGGCAGTAGAAGTATTCAGTGAACTGGATGACAAATAGGGACAAGGACAAATCCTGTGCTCAATCCCTTTCCATTGTGCTGAGCTCTCCCACAGCTACACCAGCTTCATCCCCTGGCACTGGGGTGGGTGTGTAGGGGGCGACAGTCCACCAAGACCCACGGCACACAAATACCATGGACCAATGCCAAAATCAGATTCCCCCCACTGTTCCCCCATACTGGGTCAATGGGGACAAGCCATAGCTTCTAGGGTGAAGCATTAGGATTTAAAGATTATCCTCAAAATTTAACAAGTTATATAATCAAATAGAGTAACTTATAAAACTTCTCTTTGCTCTTTAACGATCCTCGAGTACAAACAAGCTACTTGAGTGCAAGTGCTACTAAAAGCCTTTAAAAGTGCTTCCTTGTATTAACTAACAGGATGCTGCTGTGGTACAAGCCTAAAAAGGCTTTTGTACTATTCCCTAAATGCTTTTGTTTAGCAGTCTGTGTACCATTATGCATCTGTTAGCCGGCTTCCGATCGTCTGTCTCTCCTGCTGACAAATAAGCAAAGCCATCATACACTTGTCTATGATGCAACATCCACTACAAGTAGCAGGCAAGTGGCAATCAAGAAATCTGGTGCTGGTCCTCTGTCAGGATTTTGTTTTTCCGTCCTAGTAAAGACCAGCACATCATGTTGCCTCACATCAGGCATGCAGGTCATCTTGCTGGGTCAAGATGACCTGTATGGTGGCCAACACCTGCATGTAATCGTAAGGGCCTGGTTGCTACAACAGTTACTGTGTGAAACTCCACTTTTGTCTTTCACCTTTTTGTCCTGCCTCCCCTCACGCTGCGGATGGCCGCCCCTCCCTGAGCCTGGTTCTGCCGGAGGTTTCTTCTTGTAAAAGGGAGTTTTCCCTTCCCACTGTTGCTGAAATGCTTGCTTATAGGGGGCGTCAACTGATTATTGGGGTTTTCTCCCTCTTATTGTATATATAATATATAAAGCACCTCGAGACAGCTATTGTTCTGATTTGGCACTGTAGCTTATGAAGCCATTGTAGTAATATAGTTTTGTTGCCTGGCAATCAAAAAGAAAAAAAAAAGCGCTCAGGACAAAGATGCCTTTAGCTAACTCAGACTGCTGAAGCTTCATATAAGCTTATATTAAAAAGTATTCAGTATTTACTAGATTTATTTAGCCTGCGGTTCTTTTCTAGTGTTGTCACAGTATAATCACAGTATGGAATAATAACTTGTGTGGAGAAGTGGAAAACATGTGAGCACTAGATAAAGATAACTGCACTATATGAGTCCAGCATGCTTTTTAGTAGCAGTAGAAAATGCATGGATGGATGGTAAATGCAAAAAACCCTGCAATCTGCAGATCACATAAGATCTCTGCTGGTATTTGCAATTCCCATGTTTACGCTTGTCCACACTTTTAAGAGCATGCATGTCCCTGCATGTGAGACATACATACATGTCTCACATGCAGGGACATGCATGTCCCCTCACATTCACGTTAGTGATAGTGTCAGTCTACACAGTCAGATTATGACATCAAGAAATTATAGGAAATATATCAATACTAAAACTAGTACTAGAAGCACTCATTGAGTAAATATTTATCTAACAATTATTTGGCACCAGTGAGCTAAAGACAGATTAAAAACTCATAAATAAAAATGACTGGCCTTTAGCCTTATTTGTAGTGATTGTACTGTTCACATGGCTATCAGCATTTCACCATCAGCCTTGACCCTCTTTCCCAAAACCAGCTCTTTCATTAGACGTGCACATACTGCTTATTCAGTGGTTTTGCACCCACGGGTGACTGACATACAAACAAGGTGCTCAGAGCAAACATGTACCTCAAGGATGGACGATGGCTCAACCTCCTGTTGACAGAGGTAACTGTTTGATGAGAGCACTTTCCTTTCGTAATCTGGTACTTTACGTGTTACGTAGTCTGCATGCAAAACTTCACGCAACAGACGTTCCCAGCTTTTACCTTTTGGTAGAGGGTCGTCCCATTGGTATCATTCCCCACAGCAACCATCTTGTAGTCTGTTGCGTACTGTAACATAAAGAAAGACACATGTGCTTGTTTATTTTGTTGTATTGCTGAAATAAATTAATGTTTTTAGAAATTGAATTCTAATCTAATATGACATCTGTAGAGTTGCTTTTTGAATAATCAGGTGCACCTGCTTTAAATAGTACATTTTACAGACATTGTTGAGGAACAAAAGGGAACCCACAAGCTGCCACTGACCCCCTTTTTAAACTATGATAGATGTTTCCTATACCAGTCTTCCTCGGGGGTTTTATTTTCTGATTTCCCATGGGCCTCTTCTTGGTTGCGCAGGTTTAAAAAATCCTGGACATTTTCAGGCTATGAGTAGTTCACTGTGTCAGTACGTTTTGTAGGAGACTTGGGACCCCGTTGGACACGGTCCACTGATGTTCAGTCTTTTCAGTAAACAGAACTGCAACAATGCCCCCTTTCCCTCAAAGCATTTCTTTAGACACCCCTATAGGGTAGAGGTTTCCAACATCTCCTATAGATCTATATGAGCTTAAAAAAGTCTTGGTTCTTAAACGATCTTGGGCATGTAGGCACACAGAGTAGATGGGTATAGTCTCAAATGAAAAAGCCAGCTATCCAATAATCCAAATCTCACACATCATTTGTTTAAACGTCTGTTTAAACATCGAGCTGCCTGTCATTTTGTGTAGATCCCCCCTCTCCTCTGCTTTCTTGGTCTAATCCACTGTTGGAGCCGTTCCCACGGGGGGCTCTACCACAGCATATACTGAGTGTGTGGGGGTACACTGAACTCTGTAACCTGGCTTCACTTTAAACACTTTTTCACTCTTTCTGTGAGAAATAACTGACTTATTTGTGTGTGTGTTTGTGTGTGTGTGTGTGTAATTTACAGGTGTGGTTTAGGAGAAGTTTAAGGTTTGATGAAGTGTGTCTGTGCGTGATTAAAAGAGTGTGAACATGCTTTCCTTTCTCCCTGTGTGTGCATGTGTGTATAGTTCATTTCTATCACTTCATCTCCAAATATTGAATTTTCCAGGTCCTTGTTTTAGCTGTAACAGCCAGGATGTTGTGCGATGGAGCGGCCCGTGTTGAGGAGTACCGAGGCGAGGTGGGTTGCTAGGCTAGCTTTAATGGAATGGTTTCGCCATGGTAACGGCTGGTGAGGGACAAGAAAAAGAGGTGTTCGGGTGAACAGGGGAGCGCTGCGGACCCTATTCTGGATGTCTCCTCATTAAGAGGCTCTTGGTGCTCTAACCAGGATTTATGGCAACTCTAAATGGATTCGTAGGAGCATCCGTGTGGTTGGGAAAATAAATTTGAATGAACAATCTGCACGAGACACAGGTGATACAGGAAAGAGGACAGAAAGAGGAGGATAAAAGGTGTGTGTGTCTGCGTGTGTGGGGGTGGGCAGGAAGTAAGGAGCTGGCACTCACAGAACGAAAGGCAGCAGCCACCAAGTTTGCTGGAAACAAATTCCTGAGAACGGAAGCAAAAACAAGTTAGCGCCACAGAAAATTACAGTCATCTCAGTCCTGTTCTCCTGTGTGAGCCACTTTATCTGAACAAATGGTAAAAGGCCAACATCTACAACAAGATTGGACAAGTGTTTCAGAATCATGTGGCTATCCCACCCGAACAGTAAATTCTCAACAGGATTGGTTTATCATCGTCGTATCTTGGCCTTTTCCCAGGATCCTCCCTAAAGTTTGCAGCCCAAACTCCCTGATAAAACATGTTCGGACACGAACCTGCTGTCTGTTTCAGCTTTTCGTAAAACAAATTAGCGAGGTCTTACCTAGGGTTAGTTATCTTTCCCTGGAGCTTTCACTGTTCTCCAGTCAACTAAAGGTAAAGCAAAGTCAGGCAGATGCGGAAAATAAAATTAGACTAAATTTAATCGCTTTATACTTTTCAAACTCTAACTCAAGCACTGCAAGTCTCACATACTACTCAGTTTCTGGTACAAAACTGATGCACAGTGTAGTGAAGATTCATATTTTCTTAAGTTTTCTTTTAATTAATTTCCTTTCTATTCTTTCTTCGTCGTTATTTGGCTGCTGTTCTTTTGTCAACTGCTCGACAAACTTTACTTGAGCTCTGCATTACCATAGCAAAAGGCTACAAAATTTCTTGGCAACACGTTCCAATAGTGACTGAGATATTTTGCCAACATGAAGCACTACTAACAGTGTCACTACTACTAAGAGTGTCAGTACAATCTTGTGTCTAACATGGTCACAAGAAGCACTCACAGGAGAACACTGATTGCAACTGAGATTATCTTAGATGTTACTTTGACATGTCTCGATGCATTCTCAATGATCCAGGTAAGGAAATCCCTAAAAGTTGATTCTGTTCATCAGTCGAGACTGAAGAAGTCACTTGTCACTGTCTCTCACTGAAAATGCTACGTCCAGATGAACAGAATCAATTTTTTGGGAGTTACTTTGTCAAGTAACATCCACCCAAATGCTGCTGCAGGCCAAGCACACTTTCTGAATGCCAGAAAGTCCCCGATGGCAACATCTTGCAACTTGTCAAAGAGTGCACGGCATGCATCCTGCACCTGAATTTACCAGATTGCCAGAATCTGAATATCACAGAGTATAAGTGACGTTGCTGGTTAGCGATCAGGTACATCTGTATGTAGTCCATAATACTGGATTTTGGATCAGCAATACACACACAGTATTGCTGTTTTGTTTTTTCCATAATTTGAATCATGACAGTAATAACAGCATGGGAAATGTGACATAATCACAATAGTCAGTTACTAAAAGACAGTGAGGAACAATAGGAGTAATTTGGCACTGAGATGATTTTTTTGTCTTTGATATTTATGGCAACCTCAGTAATGCAGAGGATAATAACCAGATTTACAGGGAGTTTATTATTCATCCTCAAAGTGAACAGCCTACTTTGGTTCATTATCCCTTTTGTCGTTATAAATCCCTCATTCAAACATTTTCTTGACAGATTGTCACAGACAGAGTGTCAAGGAGTTTATTTTCACTACTGTAAGATAATCATGCAGGGATTACTAGAAGCCTGCAGGCCCTTTCTACGTACTGCTGTGTGTTTGTTGTAACGTTATCCTCTGGGGTCACACTGTATTGTGCAAAGAAATACAGGCTTTGCTCACATCTATTCCCATGGCCAGACCAGAGCCAAGCAATTCAGCTCATAGCACCATGACCCCGTCAACTCTGCCTTGAGTTCAGGGACAAATGCTGCTTCAGCTGTTGAATATCTCAGCTCCCCAGGACACGCTGGCAGGTAGCCACAATATTTTTACTTAGTCTTTTCTTTCCTTTCCTGATGTTGCAAACAAGTTTTTGCAACCCAAGATTCCCTAAATTCTTTTCCTTTATATGAAGGCAGTCAGGTTTCATCCTAGCACATGACCACAGCGAGAATCTGGATTAAGCCTGGGAACCCAGAAGTGAGCTGGCATGATTTTCCCAGAGTCTCCCTAGAGGCCCACTGTCTCTCTGTGGACTGATGTTACATAATAGCTTGATTTTCTAATTAATCGAAGCCAAGTATCATGAATGATCATTTCAAGGCCTAATTCAAATCCAATGATGTGATCTGAAATGACCTGTCTGTCTGTTGCTGATTCTTCTGGTTTTTAGATGGCACTTAATGCAACAGTTTACAGGTTTTTCTACTGGATGGACACATCCAGCCAGTAGATTTAGTGGTATAAATTTGTGCTTCAGCTTTGATGAGAACGTTTTTGAATTTTTATTAATGTATAACTCAGTATTAAATAGCTGATGTGTGTGGCTGTGAATTGTCCTCCTACAGTTTATGAATGCAGGTTACTTCCCAAACTTGCTAGCTTTAGCCTCTCGTTAAGATACGTTCACTTTTGGCAGTAAACGCCAATATAGTCCTAGCTAAAATGCTAAAATGCTAACAGTAAATCTTCAAAATGCAAAGTGCAGAAACCTCAGCCTTATTAAGAAGATGAAAATAAGATGCTTATTAGTTTCTTAAATTAGCGAGCATTAGCTTTCCATGCCTTAAATAGTTAGTTGCTATCAAGCAGAATTGGTAAGCATGTTTCAGAAACAAGTTAAAACAATCCAAAATATACGTTTAGTCCTAAAAGCTAGCAAAGAAAAGCTAAAATATAGAGAGGTTATTTATTTAAAAAGGGGCAGGCTAGCAAGCCACAAAGCTAACACCAGCGTTTTGATACTTTGACACAAATAAAACTGACTGGCTGAACCTTCAGGTTTTTAGTCAAACACCACGTGCCTGGTAGTGCACTGAATAAACAGACTATCTGGAGTGGGGGGGAAATAATGTAATACCCTGTGATATGACACGTGTTTATGGAACATAGACAGCAGAAAGCATGGACAAAGCTTCTGGGTGGGAAAAATGAAACCATTGCTGAAGTGTCTTAAACCTGCATTCAGTCCACCAGGTGTTGATACAGTATCTGTGGTTTCAAAAAGTCTTGTGGAAGTTTATGGGAAAATAGCATTGTGAGTAAATGTTTCCAATGAAGTCTGTTGTGTAAATTGTGGCTGTACTATGTTTCGAAAAGAAGGAATATCTATGCTATGCTCATTGGCTAAAGGCTTGTGATTTAGAAGTTGTTAGGCAATGTGTGAGTGGTTTCACAGTCAGACCTGCCCCACCTCATCCCATATTTGAAGCCGAGATGAAGTCGAGACAGCAGAAACTAATCTTGAGGCTTGACAGACTTCAGAAAGCAACAGGGGTGACGTCACAACAGCCACCATCTTTCACACTGTCTATATCAAGAAAATGCACAGTGATTTATCTGGTACTAAGACTAGCCCCCCTCAACCTGCTCCACCTGCAAAGTTAAATGTTAGCTTTTTCAATAGTACCTGAATCAGAAACTTGTTAAAATGAATATTCCCAAAATATTCTTACTTTCTGAATCAATAGCTTTGCTCAAATAAATGAACCTTAGTCTATATGTAGCAGAAAACAACACTCTCTTCACTGGACATAGCTTTTGCGTTCTGTCCTGTTCTGATGTAACCCACTGTGAAATTTACACCATCTGAATACCTGCAAAAGCATAAAGTATGAGAAATAACAGCAGCATGTCCACCTGCTATCATGATAAGGGAGATGTGCTAGCTGTTTGCACTACAGTCTGCTACAGGCTCTGCACCTCTTCGCCTTCCCCAAAATACATCCTACTATTTCAACAGCTGTCAGCTTTCCCTCACACTGTGGGAACTTATTATTAACCACTGAAGGCTGCTGAAGAACACTGATATTTATAGGCTAGCAGCAAAGCTTTCATGAACAACTGCCATGCTGGAAAAAAAATCAACCAACTTTACAAGGAGTTGAGTTGAAAATTGTACCACAGAACCTCTGAATAATCAAGAGTTTGCCCCAAAGACACTGTGTCTCTTCATAATCAGTGAAAAGCCATCAGTAGATTTTTTATTTGTGCTTATTTGTCCCCTGGAAGCCATCAGACTGCAATCTGGGCTCTATAAAGTATCCCCTATCGGGCACATTTGTGTGTAACAGTGGGGTCAAGATACACTCTTAACAGTGGCAGCTAACTTAGGTTAAAAATAATCCATAATTACAGGTACTTATGTTATGGCATGGTGTCGATCAGATGTGACATGACTCTGCAAAGGTCTGCTGTGCAACCCTCCTTTCCCTGCTGTAAGTGGCACTTACAGCTCCTCTAATTACATCAGAGGTTAGACAAGCATTTGTAGCAGCATGGCATTGTAAAGCGGCAATCAACTATTTAAAAGCAAGAAGGGCTTTAAATACTTTAAGTAAAAGTACTCATTGATACATTAATCGGATTGCAGTGAAGGTGGAGCAGATTTTTAGTAAAACTGACATCTGCTTTCTGATACAGCTCTGAAAATAAGCGCAGAGGGTTACAGGTGATGCAAGTAAAACTAACTATTAGGCTACACTGAAACGTAAAGTTCTTTAAGACGAGTGCAGTGTGCCCACTCTCAATCTGAGTGGGAACATTAAAACACTTTTAACTGTTAGGCAAAGCTCTCCATCCACATCAGAGCAGCAGAGTGAACTGTCAGTGGAAGATTCGACCTGAACATATAAAGCACTGTTTACAGATACACTGCAGGATACACTGACCTGCTCCACCGGGTCACTCGGATTGTGACATTGATCTTAGACACTTCCAAACAGGACCACCGTTGAAATCTTACTATAACTGTAATCACACTCATTTAGATAGTACACAGATAAAGTCTGCTACAGTGGCAGAGAGGACTTGGTTGTTTCAGTGGCGCACATGTGAGGCTTACTACAGCAGCCGTAGCCTTACTGAGCGTGTGCGCACGCATGCCTAGGATGACTGCGAGCGTGGAGCCATTCGTGTGTGTAACTAACCAGCATTCCCAAACCGCCCCGAGGCACGCTGTGCCACAGTTCCCATCAGATTCACTAGAGTACAGCACACAAATCCCCTTCTTGCCCCACTACCCTCTAACATGCTACCGTGTGCGCTGTTTAAGGCGATTAAAGAGGGCTCTTTACCTGGCCAGATCTAAGAAGGAGTCGGTGGTCTCCTTGTTGCTGCTGACGCTCTCCAGTCCCAGGTTGTTGGTGTTCAGGGCTCCCGCGCCCACTCCGGGTTTGATGATGAAAGCCAGGGCTACCCCGATCCCCGAGGCGATCAGCGTGGTCACCAGAAAGTAGGCGACTGCGATGCCCCCCAGCTTGCCCAGGGAGCGAGTGTCCAGGCTGGCGGCCCCCGATACGAGACTGCAGACGACGAGGGGCAAAATGATCATCTTCAGCATCCGGAGGAGCATCTCACCGGGGAAGGCGAAGTAGGTCATCTGCGCTTTGGTCAGGTTCATGCTGCGGACCATCATCCCGAGCCCGACGCCCACCAGCACGCCCGACACCGTCAAGATCACCAGCAGGTTCTTTCTCAGAAACTCCATCAGCTTTTCTCCGAGGCTCTTCTGCGAGCCCTTTTCCAGTATCTGGTCTGTGGATGCTGAGCCGGGCATGGCGTGTCCGTTTATCTCGCTCTTTTTCTCCATTTTTAATTTTTTCTATTATCTCCGATGCGGCGTGGAAAGCCCAGTCCGGTTTCAGACAGCGTGGGTAGGACACACGTTTCTGTGAAGGCTGGTCCGGCGTTCAACTCTGAGCGCAGAAGCGGTAGGGCGAGCCAATGGAGAGTGAGCGACGACACAAAAAGCCAAGTGGAACATGCGCACAAAAGGGGGTACTTTATACCAAAAGCAAATGATGCAAGAGCGTGGGATATTGCCAGGGTCCAGTACTGAATAAATAACGGAGGTTTTTATGATTGAAACAGCAGACAAAAAGCCATTCCACCGGAGTGCGCGCTCTGCTGCTTTTCTTGTCTTCTTCCTAATAATGCAAACACATGAAAGCACCCTTTCACATCACTCATTTTCTGCACTCTTTGGAAAGCCCGCCCGAATCTTGGGCTTAGGACGAGAGCATCCTATTTCATGTCTGCTTTTAGTTATTCACTATAAATATTTACGCCCATAGGTATTTTAGTGAAATAGCTGTCTTCTCTTCATTTTCACACGGATCACACCAACATTTGTTTCTCTAACGGGCAGAAATAGTCAGTGCAGTGGGCCGTGTCTGTGATTAATCGTGATCTGTCACAAACCCGTGCTGCTGCATGCTGATAATAAAACAACTGTTACTGTTTGCAATATTATGGATATTTTAGGAGCTTTATTAAACTTGTTTTTATGTTAAAGTATCGTTTTTACTCATAAATCCTTTCTGCATGCAAATTAAAAATTTATTTTAATCTTTCATTATAATTATTTTTATTTACAAGCCTTTAATAGTCAGTGGAATACAAGATCTGCTCTTGAAGCAAGCGACCAATCAGGGTGCAAGAATGAGAATAGTGGATGGAGAGCAGAGGCCTGTCAGCACCATGGTCAGCGCTATGCGGCTCCTAGAGGGCGCTATTCACCAGCTCCTTTCACATTTTCTTTTCTTAAAGCGTCACATTTAGACGGAACAGCAGTGACAGGGAAAACGATTTCCATCATTTTAAAGGTTCAACTGTCTCTTCTGTTGGAAGATAAGAACTGTTAGGCTTGTTGCACTGCTGGTGTTTGACCACAAGGTGATCCCATTGGAGAGCAGTTGGTTTAGTAAAGACGCAGCTGCCCAAAGGTAAGCCATGAAAGTACGAATAAAGGGAGCGGCCTTGCTGCTGGAAAGGTTTTCATATTCATTTTCCTTAAACAGTTTATTGGCTTTTGTGTCTAATAAAGATGTTTGTCTTTATTATTCTTGATGTTTGAGTAGCAATTGTAAGTATAAAAAACGTGTTAAAATTTCATTTGACCTTCTTTTTATTATAAAATATATTTTTAAGCATGGTTTGTGATATCTTGGATCCACATATAAATCATTTGAAAGATTGTATCATATATGTAAAATCAGATAATGTCAGACATTGTTAGGCGCTCAATCAATTTTTGACCTTTATAGTCGATGATGTTTGCATGACTGTAATGTCTGATTAGTTTGTTTCAATGGGAATTGCTTACGTTGAATAGCGCTGTTTTCACTCCTTTATAATGACTAAACTGACAGCCTGTTGCTGTTTCAGATGGTGCAACAGCTTTCACACATTTTCTATGACTGTGAAAAAAATCTAAGTGAAATATAATGTTTTAGGAAAGCATGACAATAAAATCAGCGGAGCCTTCAGCTAATACATTCAAAGGAGAGAGAGGCAATATTCAGACGACACACGCAGAGGCAGTTCTCTGTTTCGCTGCCTCTGTCCTCACTGACCCCAGTGCTGCTGTTGCTAAGTTGAGTTAAACTTTGCATGTCTCCACCAATAGAGACAGACTGTCCCCCTTCCCCTCACAGCTGTGTGGCCTGAATGCTGGAAATAACCACCGGCTTGTGGATCTGGAGTCATGGCTGTTTAACAGTGGCTAACATTGGCGCCCTGCCATTGTAAACTGCAGGGGGGGAAGAAAACAGGGAAAGACACATACTTAGCTTCCTCTTGGAGATTGCTGAGCTGTCACCCAAGGACAAGCAAGAAAGAGCTGGTCCTTTTGGGAGGCACCGAGGCCCAAACCTGACCAAAAGCAGTAAAGGTTTACTATTTTAGTCATTATTATTATTATACTTATCCATAACCTTTATGGTCATTGTAAGGCGGTGTTGTGCTTCTGGATGAGGCAACTACCTCTTGTAATGTTTAGTGTACCCAGATTGTTCAGATCTTCAACAATTTTAATAGCAAGGATACTCAACAGCCTCAAGAGACCTGGTTATTGAAGAAATTCAAGAAAACGAGTGGAAGTCGTCAATTCTGGAACTCTTTCTGGTCAAGCGGTCATGGCAGACAGCTGCCTCTCCCTGAGCCTGGTTCTGCCTGAGGTTTCTTCCTGTTAAAGGGGGTTTTCTCCTTCCCACTGTTGTCAAGTTCTTGCTCATAGGGGTCATCTGATTGTTGATATTTTTCCTCAGTGTTATTGTAGGGTATTTACCTTACAATATAAAGTGCCTTGAGGTGACAGTGATTTGGCGCCATATAAATACATTTTATTTGCAATTTAATTAATTTTTTAAAGTTTGTTTCCAGAGCTTTCGGTTACACCTCATGGCCATCTTCTTCACAGGCACTGTGCATAACCCTCTCATCATGTGAGTCTTATTACACACATAAGTTGAACTTGTGGTAAAATTTCCCTCATCTTTTTTAACTAAGCCAAGAACCAGTTTATTAGTTTCCACTTCTGCTTGTCATCACTCCACCTTTGACAGTGACTCATGTTCAATCATGTACACGTCAAAAAAACAAAGACAAGGAGACACAACAGACACCTGCTCTTTTTACAGTTTATTGTATATGTATATTTATATATATTTATATATATATATACATACATACATATATATATAAATATAAAATACAAAAGTAAGACTGTTTCAAATTCATAGACAGCTGTACTTTTATTTCATTTACTATGTATACATATATATGTGTGTGTGTATATACATATATATACACACACACACATATATATACATATATATACATATATATATATTAATATACATATACATATATATGTATATATTATCTACAGTCCACATTTGGATCCCAATACAGTGATCAGCTGATAGTTTCTCTCTGTGTGTTTGTGTTCTATTGCATAGAAAAAGGCACAGCTCTGAGGTCTGTGTAAAATACAGCCTTTGCAGAGGGACTCAGCCTCGACTGTGGTCAGTCCTTATCTGCGGTTAGAAATTGCCGCACGCTCGGACAGCGCTTAAACCGATTCGGTGACAAACACTGATCGAAAAAGACTCAGAACCTTGAATGTTGTTCATACTATGTACATTACTTTTGGCATCAGAGCATCTGACAGGCTTTGGAGACTTGACATCTGAAGGTTTGAGATGGGCTTTTTGAGTATTGCTGCATGAACTCTTCGCCTTCAACTGGAAAGTGATGAACAAGAGAGTACAAAAGATGTAAAAAGTTGTGGCCGCCACCCCAGAAATCAAAAAAACAAAAAACAATAACAATGCAACAAAACAAACATAAACAAGATAATATAATTACCTATGTATATAAAAAAAATGGCTTCCACCCCATAGTTCCACACTCGGATACATTCCTTTTTGAAGTACATTCCTACCACACATTCTGTACACACATTTACAATCCAAATGTTCACATAAAAAATAAATATATTTACAAAAAAAGGGGGAAAATCCATACGAATAAATAACTTCATTGACAATTTAAAAAAAGGAAAGAAAAACAAGCACTCCAAAATTTAAATATGGTGAAAGCAACAAGATACGGTCATCTAGAAATGGTATTAGTTGGTGCTGCCATGTGCTCGGCTCACACTCTGCTTCGGTTTAAAATGCCATTCTTTTACAAGCTAGTTGAAGTCAAATGTACCCTGGGAAGCTGATGATCTTCCACTGGAACACAATGTTCTCGAACGATACCGCGAGACCACCGCAAAGCTGTGCTCGCAAACACACGAGGGTTCAGGGGTTCTTATGGTGACTTGCTGAAAAACGCTTCCATAATCAAAATAGCCACCGGTGGCATTCCCCGGCCCTCTGGATCATTGCAGTGTCCAGAAACGCTTCTTCTGACAGATGCTGTATGATGAGAAAATACAGCACACAGCAGCTACAATGGTGACTAACATTAAAGCTGTGCTCTCTGGTGCCCCTTCTATACTTTCACTAGATGATTCTGTGTAATATGTACCTTGCAGTGATAAACCCACAGACAACTGTTACTCAGAATCACTTAACTGCCAGTTTTGTGTTTTAGTGCCATAAATATTCACTGGTGACCTCTGCTGGGTGGGGGTTGGAAGTGTTTTGAAACAACACTTTGCATGGTTGCAGTATCAGGTTAACACTGTGGTTTGGGTTTCCTACTTCACCCGCATTCTTATTATTTACGAGTCAGATTTAGACCTCCTGGCCCGTGAGCTTTTTGAGGCAATCTCAAAATTGTCCTGCAGAACCATGAGATTTTGCACTTTAGGGCTTCTATTCTAAGCACAAGTAAACATACTCAGGGGGTGTGTAATACTGTATGTCCTGCTACAATTTGCCAGTCACCTGTGTTGCTAAATCAGAGGGAACTAAACCTCACCCAAAAAATAATAGTCTTACTAACCGCCCACATTTTTCTTGTGTAATTCCAAGAGTTGCAGTGGTACCACAGTGAATTTCCCTGCAATGGGGTAACAGCTGTTTTGTTTTCAGGCCTGCGCAGCTAAATTTAACATGCGTGTAGTGAGCCCTAAGCCTCTGCTTAGGCTGCACTTTTCACATCATCTACATCCGACTGGGAGCCATGAGTCGGTGCTGCTGCTGCTTCTGCTGTTGCTTCCAATGTAAACACGCCGAGCTTTCCCCTGTGGGTGTAGCTCATTTGAATTCTGCTGCAAGTGAATCATGATAACCAGCTCATATGACCGAACGCATGTAAAACAGCATCCAGCACAGTTATATGTGCTTGCTGATAAGGAGAAGTACAAAAAAGAGTTTACCAAAACGTCGGCGAGGTGTCGCAGAGCCACTCCCAAACTGTAATCGTATAGCCAAGCTAATATGTCATCTAGCACACTGGTAAAACTACATATTCCTTTTTATGCTTGCTTTACAAACAAAACATAGCATCTGTAATAAGATAGAGATTAAATAATTACTATTTGATCATGAGAAATTACCTTACTTAACGATAGTTTCAATACAATAAATTAAACAAAAAACATTAAGGAGTGACCTCTCTAGGCTGTTAAAACGAAAAAAAAATACTGTTAAAACAGGAATTGAATAAGTGGTCATCTTGAAAGGCACTCATCTGCTAAAAGCCATAATTACAGTGTGTGTGTGTGTGTCTCATGTTTATGCTTGTATTTCTTTACCTGTGAGGAGTAAGTGTCCCCACAAGGGTAGATAGAGTTGTCCACAACAAGGACAATTTCATTGCTTCTATTTACAGTTACTCCTTAGGGTTAAGGCTTAGATTAAAGTTAAAGATTACAAAGAGGATTAGGTTTCGGGAATGAAGGAAGTCAAAGGAGGTCCTCACAAGTATAGAAATACAATTATATGTGTTTGTTTCCCGGTTACTTCTTTTCCATATTTGGAAAGGCGAGGACAGTGCATGCACAGTGTTGTGTAGTAGTAGTAGTAGTTGTCATAGTAGTACTAACTGACATCACCATCGATGTTTACAATTACCGACTTTTGAAGAGAGTTTAAAAAAAAAACAATGTAAAAACAACAACCAGGAAAAAAATCGATCCCACGTTTTCATTCCAGTCTGATTAAACTGTTTCTCATGGGGGGGGCATCCTTGAGTCAGGAGCCCACCAACACCTCCATGATGTGGTCCAATTCTGTCAGATCAATTTTGAAAGGCTGATTGGCTGAAACCTGGGGGGCAGGGCCGCTGTACGGTGCCCCCAACGATTTGAGTAGGTCGTCCGCCGTCACCACTGGCGACACTTTGGCGAGGCCGCCGGTGCTTGCTGTCCCACCCCCTGCTCCCCCTGCTGTCGTGCAAGGGTCAAAGTCATACATGGATGTGTCAATGTCGGCGAACAGGACATCATCCAACGCCAAGTCTGAGAGAAAGGGCGAGGGCGAGGAAGAGGATGGGGGACAAGAAGGAGAGGAGGAAACGTCTACCAGGCCACCTGGGGGCACTGCAGGGAGAGCGTCCATTGGCCGGAGCTCAGCACAGCGGCCTTCCACTAGGAAAACGGCAGCTGCCTCTGGTTTAGCACCCGTAGTCCTGCAGTCTCTGGGTGAGCCGGTGGGTGTAGGTGGGAGGGGTTGGGTGGTTGGTGTGGGAGCTGGGGAGGTAGTCATGGTCGTAGTATTAGCTGCTGCTGTCCTAGTTATGGCTGTAGGAGGACCCAACTCCATGTCACTCAGAGAGGAGGAAAAGACAGGCACAGGGACAGAGGGGGCCTGGCTCAGAGGTGCTGAAATGGGAGGCTGCACTGGGGGTGGTGACAGCGGAGGGGTGGGTGGAGATACCGCGCAAAAGGCTGAATCTCCACCATCCTCCTCCAGTAAAGAGGCAGGAGTGAGGCAGGCCTCCAAAGGGGCAGGACAGGCCTCCAGACGGCTGGGGCAGGCCTGGGATACCTGGCAGTTGGGAGGCACCATTGGGTGGGGTGAAGGCGGAGGAGCAATCGCTGGCATCAGCAGTGCAGAAGGCTGGGATACCTGTGTGCTCGTTGCCGCTGACAGAACGCCGAAAGATGGCGGCGCCTCACGGAAGCCTTCGTCCATGGGGTCGTCGGGTGGCGGCGAGGGCGGAAGGAGAAGTGGCCGCAGGGAGCCCTCTTGCTTGAGTTCCTCCTGGATGCGGCGGAGCATGTTGTTGATGAGGACGCGGCGCTCCAGGCTGGGTTCTCCCAGCGGCCGTTGGCTGTACAGCTTCATCAGAGAGATGTTAAAGATGGTCTGCCGCTGCAAGGTGTACGACACCTTCGAAAGACCTTCTGGAGTGACGCCTAGCCCCCCTCCCGCCACCGGCGCCTCCAGCGTTTTGCCTTCCAGCCCCTCTTCATCCTCGTCCAGCTTTCGCTTCGCACCTTTACCGAACATATATCTGAAAAACAAATAAGCAGAGACAGAGGAGAGATTATTGAAGACGCATATAGTTTTAGGGTTTAGCTGTCTTATCGCTGGATGTTACTGACATCACACAAAACTGAGAGTAGAAAAAAATGTCTGTTTAGAGTTTAGACTTTGCCCATTTTAATGTGATGATCCAGCACTGTGACAGCAAACATGACCGAAAAACAGGGAAAGCATAATAGGTCCACTTTATAAGCAACTGTGGTTTGGCCTACTCAACAATCACTGATTACACTGACCAGACACAAGTGTCAATTCTCTTTTCAGGTTATTGAACTTTTGTGACTATTCAACTTTTTTCTTTTTTTTAAAAAAAGTCATTAATAAACTATCACTCCTTAATAAATAGCTAGTTTTTCACAGTCCTAGTTACTTCCTCTCACTAGTGGACGTTTCCCTGCTCTGTAAGTAGAGTCATGTTCTGGTTTGTTCCCCACAATACACCTCAAAACAACTCTGATATTCTAAAAAAAAGAAAAGAAAAGAAAATTCTCATCTTGCAATTGAGGGATATATTCTTATGGTGAGCAAAATCCAGCATCCCAACTGGATTACAGTATAAAATGATCATCAAACCCAACCTCATCTCACTAAAACACTGACATACTCCACAGTGAAGTTTTCAGACTGAAGCATAGCAGCTTAACTGGCGTGATTCAAGAAGCTGCTTAAACGCAACGAGCTTACTGTGACAGGGGATTGAAAAAAAACACATATATTGAAACCATAAGCAGCTGCAGTGGGAGCCTCACCACTGCACACCAAGGCCCAGCACACACACACACACACACACACACACACACACACACACACACACACACACACACACACACACA